AGGATAAAACCTTCAGTTTCCGCTTTCAACCCTGCACTACGTAGCCACTGATGGGTACGGGTTTTGTCTACGTCAGCTTGTTTGGTACGGGCAGAGTATTGGCCATGACGCGGTTTATCTTGCCATCGCTTCTAACTGGTCGGTTGCATTCGTCTTTGCTGTCTTTTTTAAAATATTTTGCAGTTTCAGCCGGTGTATTGTGCTGTAGTTGCATCTCTACGTCCATTTGAAACTCCATTTTGAATTTGTTGGCTTCTTTTTTATTACGGAGTAAAGACGCTTACTACTTTCATGTTCCTTGACGCATACCATCATCCAGTCTTCTGTAGTTTCCAAATATCTTTGGAGGTCACTTGTTGTAGTTTTGTAGGGCATTTCTAGTTGAACTAATCCTCTGCCTCCTTCGGATCTGGGCACATACAGACGATCGACATCAGCTTTGGGATGATGCATGCGATAGCAAGTGAGAAGCTTTCTCGTTTTGGCATCCATTCGCTTAATTTCAGCTATGGTCCAGTTAAGGACATTAAAGCTGTATTGCACCACAGGGACAGCCAATGTGTTTATGGCTGATATCCTGTTTTTTTTTTTTAGCTCAGTATTTAGTACCAGACGTACACGCCTGTAGTAATCTTTTTCTATTTTTTCCTTCATTTGGGGGTGTTGTATGCCATCTCCTTCGCTAATTCCAAGGTACTTATAAGCTTCATCATGCGCCAGTTCCCTAATCTTTGTGACAAAATCTAAATCTATTAAGGGTGTTTCTGTAATTCTACCTTTCTTGAATGTTACTTTTGCACATTTATCTAATCCGAAGTCCATACCTATGTCGTCACTGAAACATTTTACAATATTGAGCAGGCCTTTCAACTCATTGTCGTCTTTGGCAAAGAGTTTGAGATCATCCATGTAGAGTAGGTGATTGAATATTTTCTTATTTATTTTGTAACCATAGCTACTGTTGTTCAGTTCATGTGTAAGAGGGATTAAGGATAAACAAAACAGAAGGGGTGACAGAGAGTCTCCTTGAAAGATTCCACGTCGGATATTCAGACGGTTGGATATGGCAGGTGCCCCTGGTGTGACTTAGGTATAGTTTGGTGTTACACATTCCCATGCTGTGCTTAAGGAAATTTAATACCACAGGGGAGACTCTGTACATTTCTAAAGTCTTAAGGATCCAAGAATGTGGAACACTATCAAAGGCTTTACGATAATCAATCCACGCTGCACTTAGATTCCTGCGTCGTCTCCTGCAATTTTCCAGGATCATTTTATTTATCAGAAGTTGATCTTAGCAGTCATATAAACCACTTCTGCACCCCTTCTGTTCCAGCGGGAGAATGCTGTTTGTTTCCAGAAAGGAATAAGTACGGTTCGTCAGTACAGACGTGATCAACTTATACGTTGTGGAGAGACATGTTATCGGTCTATAATTTTTTCGGGTCATCTGTTTCAGTTGTTTTTGGTATGAGGTATGTAATACCTTCAGTAATCCATTCCGGGATTTTATTGGGATTATTTACAAGCGTTGATAATGTTTTTTGCAAGAATTTCATGGGTAGATGAAAGATGATACAAGCCAGAAATTGGGCACCTTGTCATTTCCTGGGGATTTCCATTTTTTGGATTTCGTTAGAGCTTGCCTAACATCATCTGTCGATATATTTTCCCATTCTTGCAGAGGTGTATCCAGCAGTCGTTCTTCTTCATGCCGTATCCATTCTGCATTTGGGTTATATTCCTTTGGGCTGCTTCAAATATTTTCCCAAAATGTCTGTACATTATCAATCGATGGTGGCCTTTCGACATGTATAGGTGTTTTTTCAATTTCCCTGTAAAATTTCTTAAGATCTGTTCGGAATATTTTATTTTGGCGATAGAACCTACAACGTTTTTCGTATCGTCCTGTTCTCTGTGCCTTTAGCTGAAGTTTCTGCTTCAGCATTTCCTTGATTGATGGAATATCAACTAATGATTTAATGTTATATTTCCGCTTGATCTTTTTTGCATTTACGTGTAAAAATATTAGGGTTTCTATTTTGAGCTCATCTAATATAGGAAGCTCACATCTGATTTGTTTTTATTTCTCGAATCAGTTTGGTTTTTCCAAGCTGGTTCTCTCTGTGTCTTAATTTTTTTATTGTCTTGACTCCAAGCTTCCGAGTCGCTGCTAAAGCTGTTGCGTATATGACGTTGTTAACTTCTGTGATGTTTCCCAATGGTTTATCTGTTAACAGTGTTTCCAGAGCAGCATTGTATATTTTCACGATGTGCTTGTTGGAATTCGTCATATGGATTTTCGGGAGCTGGTCTCTGTCTGACAATTGTATGAAAGTTACTTTGCTGAGAACTTGGATGACGTCATTTTTTCCTTCGGTGATTTCAGCTTCGTGGTTTTCAAACCACAATTCTAACTTATTGTCGCTTAATATGACTCCAGGTACATTTTCTGGAGGACTGCCATGCATGTGTTTAAAGTAGTCTTGGGTTTTCATTTCCTGGGAGATTATTTCGTATTTCATTCGCTTTTGTTTTCCACCTCATCCTCTGTTGCATTCCTTATTTCTACATTCGTCTCAATAGAGTTTGAGTGACGGGTCATAGTATTTTGTCTTATATCTAATTTTATCTTTATCTATTTCTGCCTTTGAGAGTCTGTTGTTTCGCATGATGTCCCTACGGACATTTGGCAAGCATGTTTGGATTGAGGTTAGGTCTTATCTCATTTCCCACCATTACTTCTCATATTTGGTATGTTTGATTTATGGTGTTCTTTGCTGGGTTTTCGAGTGCAGTGAAGAAGGATGTCATGACTTGTCGATACTCATCGCGGCTCCATTTCGTTCGTTTACTTTTTATTAGTTGATTTGGTATTGAGTCACTTGGTCCAAGGTTGGCAATAATCCGGATTTGGTGACCAAGTGTCTCTTCGTGTGTGGAAGAGTTTGTTCCAGTGGCAGACTTTTCGTTCTCAGACTGGTTCCTCTCTGAAGACGCGGCCCTTGTTGTCCCGGTTGACAGCCGATCCGGTATGAAATATTATTCGTATTCATTGAAATTGGTAGAGATGCGTTTTAACCTTGACCGCCAAGGGGTAATTATGTTCAGGTTACCAGCTGTAGGACGAGTCTCGAAGAAGATCCAAGAGCACGCCCACAGGAAGGTTTACTTTATGTATATGTGTAGACAACTCTATCGATATATACAAATAGATAAATTATATGTTCGATCTTGTCTAAATCACATTTGATGTATTGTGCTCTAGACTATTAAGCTTAGTAAATATTAACAACACGTTAACGCACAAATTAATATTTAATTGTCGAATACTTCCTATATCTTTGAAAGGTTTATGTAGCAAGATGAAGTGAATAGTAGAGATGTGGAATGACTTTTGGGAAGCCAGTAACTGTCTGGCAACAATTTATGTGAGGTCAACTGCGCTGTCAGGGTGGAGAGCTAGTCATTACTCTTCTACTTGATTGCCCTTCAAGATCTCATAGTAAAAACTGCGGTTTACAGTTTGACGAGAGAGAGAGTAAATATTTTGTATAATACTTTGAATGTTAAAAACATAGCAAATGCAAAACAGAAGAAACTGGGTATGACTAATGTTTTATCACTGAGCCGTCTGAGCAATCAAGAAGTTTTCTATTTTGTAGTTTCCCAATCCACTGACACATCATTCAGGTTCTCACGAAACTTCTACGATTGTGTCTTCGGCTAAGCTTTGTAAATATCTCCTCGAAGCTGTGCACTCAACAAATCCTTCGATTCAGTTGATTATGGAAGTAGATATACACAAAGGATTGATATGCTTACGGACCGACCTAGATAGATAGATAGATAGATAGATAGATAGATAGATAGATAGATAGATAGATAGATTTCGGTATTTGAAAACGTCATTAGAATTTAATTTTTTAATTGAAGACTGACATTTAGTTCCTAAAGAGAAATTTGATGGCTTGTTATACGTGATTTATATTTATCCCAAGAGGTTCTGACTTTGGGTTCCTAAATGTATAGAATGGTTATAACCGTTAGATTGAATCGATATAAATATGAATATCATTGCGTGAATGGTCGTTCTCAAGTTGGTGGTTTGTGTGCTCGATCTTAAAATTCTATTCCATAAATGTGGCCCTATGTCAGATTTGGTTCAGTCAGCTTAGTCGGTTGTTTTGCGAGACAGAGTTTTGGAGGAAATATGATCATTATTTAGGCATAATTCTTTGTTCACTCTTCGTTTTGTAATAGTTTCTTTCTAAGTTGTTACTAAATATAATATTAACGAAAATCAGTTCGAATTATTTAAAAAATAATACAAATCACTTTTTTCTTAAAATATAAAAAGTGTGATACTTCAAAATATTAAATTCTGAAGACCTGTTTATCTTTAAAAAAAAATGTCAAAATTAGACGTCTGAAGTGCGATTATGCCGAAATGGTTTCATCCTCTTGTATTTTTTGGACTTTTCAACGATTGTCAAAATTAACCTTCTATATGAGTATGTCAAAGAAATCACAAAATAAAGTCGAAAACAGAACGAAAAGTGAAACAATAAGACATGGATAAAGTAAGAAAAAAAGTTTTAAAAGACAAAGTTAACAATATTTTTGGTAAGTGAGCACGGTTTTGGGAAACACGAATCATTGTTTCATCATCTGCATTTTCGACAATATGAAGTTGTCACGCAATATATTTGGAAAAGCCAACAACACAACAGAAAATCGAAGGCCAGAGGATAGATGATCGAAACGCTCGGAGCAAATGAGAAAATTAGTTTGAACCAACCAAATACATAAAAGCATCATATTTACTAAACCGCAAACAAGATATCAATTTAATTTTTCTAAAGGGTGTTTTATGAGATTTTTTTCGGTGTTACCTACGTACTTTATACCTTGAAGAATATATTTTAGATTTACTATTTGTATTTATTTTTTATATAATTCCCATTTAATTGCTGTTGTCAGGTGAAAGTGCTTTACATATGGCCGTCATTAACCAGGATTTACTGTCGGTGAAATATCTATTAAGCAAAAATGCGAACGTCAACCAAAGGGCAACTGGTCAGTTCTTCTTACCAACTGATCAGATTGGTAAACCACCCAAAAAGGAAACAAACTTTGACGGTAAGCTTTTATAATTTTTGCTTCATATTCCTTAATCCACAGTCGTTTTATTGTCGAGATTAAAAATCCAATAAAACTATGAAGCGAATTGTGAAAATAACTGTATGCAACAAAGAAATAGAGATTATTGGATGCAAGTTACAAATCAAGAAAACAGAAGAGATATTTATCCAAACCTAGTGACTGAAACACACAAAATGTTACAAAGTTGACGTCAATTTTTGCATCCGTAATTGTAAATTTTTATCCCAAAATAGAAATTAATTTATTGAAATTTTAATAGCTACAGTTAAAAAGATTTCATTATCAACGAACACTTTCCTAAAAAAAATTATGAAGACGTATTAGAAAGTAATAACTAGCAGTTTTTTTATATACATTCCAGTTCGCCTTTTATTTTTACATAATTAATGTGTGTAGTAAATTAATATATTTAATTGGATAATGTTACAATTTACAGGGTAATATATTTTGTATTATTTTCTATAGTAGACCAATGTTCACTTGACAAAGACATCAGAAAATAGTGGGTGATAAAATATGAATTTAGATTTAGAACGTAGACACACGCGCGTGTATACATTCACATATTGAGTATATATAACACACACACACATATATATATATATATATATATTTGAAAGGGAGAAAAAGCTACCAACGTTTTTGTTTATTATGTAGATTTTTTCATACTTTATTTTTTAAATCCATATAATAATCAAAAGATTTTTTCTCTTTTCAGATATATAATTTTCTCTGGTTAAAGAACAATAAAATAATTCTGCCTTATATATATATATATATATATATATATATATATATATATATATATATATATGTGTGTGTGTGTGTGTGTGTGTGTGTGTGTGTGTGTGTGTGTGTGTGTAAAAAGGATAGATAAATTGTCGTCTAAATTACGTAAAAAGTCAAAATTACACTGACATCTCATTTTAACAGATATATTTACCAAAATTACACAAAAATAAAATCGCCATTGGTTTCAGTCACGGCCTCCAGACGACTTCTGAATCACCTACAGCTCTTCTGGACAGTCTTGTTTAAGTTGGTGAATGCTGCCATCAGTTTTGTTGTTCCCTTGCCAAACTGCGTCCCACACATAATAATCAAGGGAGATGCAGTCTGGGGAGTTAGACAACCGGATGTAAGGGGTGATATGGTTGAAGAAATTGTCTGACAGCCATGACTGTGTTCTTTTGCCTGTGTGACATGGTGCAGAGTCCTGTTGCCAGAGACAGGTTCATTCAGTAGCCACCCTTTTGACTAAGGGCAGAACTAACTCCTCAAGGCACTTGATGTAGGTCTCCGTATTGTGTCCGAGGCCCTCACCAACAAATTTGAGAGTTCTTTTCTTATCAGAACGATCAGAGTGAGTTTTCCAAGATTCCGTACCTATATATATATATATATATATATATATATATATATATATATATATATATATATATATATATATTCTGAGGCTCTCATAACTGGAATGACAATACACCTTCCTTTATGAATTTTGTTGGAAATGTACGAACAGGATTTTAAAATTAGCTAAAGCATTTTGTTATTGATGGGCTTGTATGTGCGTGCATGTGTGGTCAGCATTTAAGAAAAAAATCTTTGGATAAATACTGTAACTTTACTCCAGGGAAGGAAGAATTTTTTTATTTCTTTTTTTCTCTCATTTTCATTTGTAAGATATTTCCAAACAGCAATGAATTGATGAGACTTGAAATTTCTTGACGAATACTTTTTAACCGACACCCCATTTACTCGAGGAAACTAACGGATCAACCAGAAACTGTGTAAACAGAAAAAACATTAAGATAATGAGAATGTGGAGGTATATTTACTCATACCGTGTCTGCATAAGTCGGGGGCTTGTGATCACGAGAAAAAAACAGAACAAACAAACGTACATAATAACAATAAAATCATGGTAAATTGTATGATAGTTTCATACAATTTTATTTATGTATTGGTGTGTATTGGCGTATGTGTTTTACATTACGATTGTGATAAGGTTCATGTTATAAAATGGGGTAAAACACCCTGTAATATCACAAGTCCTATCCCGGAGGGTTTTTAAACACACGTTGTCATCATGACAGTCCTTGAGCAAAGAGAGTGAATCTCATGTCTCTTGGCGGGACGTCTGTATTTCCGGCAGGCCCAGCCCCTGTTACATGCTGGGAGTAATTTTATATTTTTTATTTATTTTGAACATGGTTTAAATTTTATTTTATTTTATTTGTAATTTTCATTATTATTATTATTTTACATCTTATTTTCATTTATAATAATAACAATGTTCCCACGAAGAAAACTGTTGCAGTTGGAAATAATTCATAATGTGTGCTCCGAAATAATGAAAAAGCAAAATGTAATAACACTTTAAGCTATTTTCCTTCTTTTAAATTAAAGGTTTGGCCTATTATGGTGAATATCCACTGACATTTGCTGCTTGCATTGAATCGTATGAAATCTATGACTACCTTATTAGCAATGGCGGAAATCCGAATTTAAAAGACACTTTTGGAAATACAACTTTGCATGCAATCGTCGTTGCTGATAAAGCGGTAAGTACAAAGCCAATGTGATCACATAGTTTTAAGTGCAATCAAAATCCTATCGAACCATGTGGCCACAAATAATTTGTAGAACTAACTCGATTTTCCTATAAGAAAGATTCCTTCTGTAAAACATAATTATTTAGTATAATATTCTTCTATGAGCCGTTTCCCTTCAGTGTGTGGGCGATCATGGCTCACAACAGTTTGTAGGTTTTAGTAAATTTTGTCTTTTGGCTATCTCTCCTAAACCCTGTTCTGCCTATTATTTGCATTGGGTAGGTTATGTGCTATTTTTGCTATTAAGTATAATTGTCCTTTTTGTCCCCTTTTTCTCTAAAACTTTGTCGTTGTTCTCAGGTTCAGTCCAGCATCCTTCTGTAGAACTACATTTCTAATTAAATTATTGAACAATATTAAAACTACCATAATATTTTAAAAATATTTTCTATTATATCAAAAAAGTCTTCCAAATATTTGGTCAAATTTTGAGAAGTGAGTCAAACCGAAAGCTTTTCAGAACCTCCTCATAAGTTTGTTATAAAATGTAACTTATAAAAATAGTCCATTTTTGTAGGTCAGTTATCTTTCATGGAGCGATAAAATATACAACTCAGGTTTTGTCTATTGTGGTTGAGAATTTTCGCTTTCTACGAAATATTCGTTAAAAAGTGAATGACGGTTTGAATAAAGTAACCCATTAAATAAGTAATCCATTTTGTGTGTATATATACATATTACTATTATTATTGACACTCTAAACACTACTTTTAGTAGATACCCATATTTGAGTAGATGCTCTTTTTTCTTTTTAAACAGCATAGATTACTGCGCATTTGAGAAGCTTAATAAAAAAATTTCTCCGGCAGCACATTTTTTCATGTCTCTCGAATGTGTTGTAAAAAGTAAGGAGGGAAACTACTTAAACATGGCTATCCACCAAAAATAACGTTTATAGTAATAAGAAATAAAGATGGATTAAGAATAAAACCCATTAATTCTTTGGAAATATATATATATCGGAATCTTCTTTTTATACGTACTTAACTATTGAAATAATAATTTTAAAACCGTTTACAAAAATGAAAACAACTCACGTTAACTATAATAACAAATATCCATGCAGATACAGTTCCGTATCTGTGCTAATATCATAAATAAATTCGAAAATAGAACACATTTAATAGCCTCTTCATATACAATATTCAATAATGAACTGAAAAATGTAAAGCAAGCATCAATTAACAATAAATTTCCTAACCGAATCATAGTTAAACAAATTAAACTAATCTTAGAAACAGATAAAAAATAACAGTGATACAATTAATAAAAACAATATAAAATACTATTAAACTATTAACCTACGGAAACCAATGACAAAATAAGTATAAACTAGAATAAAAATGATAAGAACCTTAATCCATATCATATATCTGCAAAACAAACAATTTAGATTTTTTAGCACTTACTACGAATAAAAAGGCACTCTAAAAATATCTAACAATACAATAACAAAATTATAACTGAAACAGACCAGTATACGAATTCATTTGCCTCCTTTCTAATATTAATAATAAAAAAACACATACATTGACCAATCGTTACATTACCTCATCGATTAACTTGCAACTTATCTGATAATATAAATTACATACCATTAACCAAGACAACAATGCAACACATCGTGAAATTTGACAAATATTTATGTTATGATGTTAATTTGGGGTTAATAAAGACAAACGCCAAATAACATGTAACAATAAAATGGGGTTTATTCGGTTGGTAAGTTGGTACAGATATAGCCTGAGTAGTCTATAACTAACTCAGCCCAGAACTTCTTCTACACTGTCTTTTGACATGCCACTAGTTAACTTCCTTGTTTGTAGACGAGTTCATCTTCAAGAGGGGTGGTAGATTCCTACACAACAATTTATCAACAACACAAAGAACAATACCGTATAAATGACTGCAAATATTAGAAAACTGTAAAAACAAACAATACAACATTAGTAAAATCTCATTCATTTACGGAAAAAACCCAAATACCATCTACAAATACATGATGGTGTAATATTTGAAAACCACCCAAAACATAATGAATAACTATAGACACAAACAATTATTTGATGAAAGTGAAAGCGTCCAGAATACATTAGGCAATTTCTGTTAAACTTCGCCTGGCAATCAGGAAAATGGTCAGAACCGAAGAAAAAGTGAATTAAAAACATCAAAGAAGTAATAACTTTCATTAAAACATTTGCATACACACACACACACACACACATATATATATATATATATATATATATAATGGCTTTCAACTCATTAAATGAATATGACCATCACTGATATCGATTAATGGTTATTTCCAAGGATTATTGCACAGATGGCAGATTTATGGCATTGGGGAGTTTGTGTCTCCTGAGTTCACTGGATATGGCTTTTCAAATGTCTGATCAATTAATCCATATTGACTTGCCACAGTGTCCACGTAAAGATCGCTGTTAATTTGACAAGCTTCATTATTACAGCTGGATCCCATTGTTGCGACTGCAGTAGCTTATTTTGGATAATCAGATGCGATTGAATTTCGAACATGCTAATTGTGGGTTATTTTCTTCAATGTCTTCTCCCTTTCTGTCTATTTGCTTGTTACTTGCCCTTAAAATTGCGGATTGTTGGAAAATCTTCACCTCTTTCTCAATGCTAGCTCTCTACTTGTTTTTGTCGCGAGCGTTGATTTCTCAGTTTGAATCATACATCAGTCACGAAAGCATTTCTTTCGTTTGTCCTGAGGACGTTTTCCTTGGCAAAGTTGGCCATACAGGATTTATTTGGACATCACTTTTATTTTCCTCCGGTAGATAACCCAACTTTCACGGAAATAGAGGAGGCATGTTAAAATCCATGTATTGTAGACATTGATTGTTGTTTCTTTATTTATTCCTGTTCTCAACCTAAAACGATCTTTAGGAATATGCCTCTGTAGCTTTTTTTTTATTATTTTAAGAGCAACCTCGTCGTCAAGGTTAATTGGGGTTAATTTGTACAGTCAAGATAAGAACATTTTTCTACAGCTTTATGTTTATGTTCACTGAAGTGATTACTTCATACCGGCTAAAACATAACAACTGTTTCGTGCATGGGAACAAATTTTTGCAGGATTGTGACGAATGTTCATGATCTCTGGCATTTCTGTGACAGAATGTGATATCAAATCACAACCATCAGCATATAAAATCTAGAATATCAAATTGAGACATTTTGCTACATGCATCTAAGGGTCACTATTTGAAGAGCTTACCAGATCATCTGTATCGAATGCTAATATCATGATTACAATCTTGAAAAGCCTCAATTGCGAAGCCATGTGTTTTGTAGGTTACCCGGTTTTACACTATTCTCGGCCTTAAAAGGTTCAGTCAGTACTCTCGCATGTTTTGCGCAGGCCACTCCTTGTTATCATGGAAAGATTCAATGAGATTGGCAAAATGGTGTGCACAGCCCAGAAAATTTGCCTATTGACCATGTCAAATGCTTTGGTAAAATCCACAAAGAATTGAGTCATGACAGTTCTGAGCACTTCTCTTAGACTTGATGAGCAGTAAAAACATGTCTGCATCTCCTCTTTTGTTGTAAACCCTCACTGCAAATCTAGTGAAATAGAGGATATCTGTTAAGATATCTTCGACAGCTATTAAAAGTGCGATACCTTTTTAATTGTCATGAATTTCTTTAATGCCCTAATGTTTGAATAAACGGAATATAATTACGTCCTTCCAGTCTTTAGGGCTCTCTCTTGTTTACTAGATATTGTTGATCACACAGTGCATTATTTCTACCATGTGATCCAAAATATTTCTGTAACAGTTCCATCATTTCCAGTATCTTTACCTAGATTAAGCCCATGAATGGCTGAGTTAACGTCCTCAGAGATAGGAAAAGCATTTATTTCCTAAATTAATGATCTCTCTGGAATACTATCCAAAGCTCATTGGTTCACTTGAGATTTCCTACTAAGTATTTCTTTGAAATATTTCTTCCATATCACTGCGATATTGTATATCTTTGTTAAAAGTTTTGCTTCGTTTTTTGATTTTAGATATTGTATTTTGAGATTAAAATCTCATTTAAGAAGGTTATTGTTAAACACACACGGACACACACACGGACACACATGCATATATATATATATATATATATATATATATATATATATATATATATATATATATATATATATATATATATATATAGAGAGTTTATATATATGTTCCAACGATAGAAAATGTATATTTTAAAGAGAAGAGAGAAGCCGTAAACGTTTTTGGTTATAATGTGGATTTTTAAAAATATATATTATACTTTATTTTCCATATTTTTGCTACACGTCTTTCCGGTCTCAAGTAAATAGTGGTTATTTCCACATATTATTGCCTGTTTACCTAATTCATAGGGTATGTTGCTATATAGGCTACTGAATACCCTCGGGAAAGGTATGAATCCTCTTATTTCCCCTCCCAGCTATGGGAAAATAGCAGGACAGACCAGGTTCTATAGCCTTGGATGGCAACTGGTCTACCACAGAAAGAAATGGTAACCTACTGCGGGAAAAAATCTGCGTCGTCAGTCATGTATCGAAAGATACATGATCACTTAAGCGTGTATCACGCATGGCACAAAAAGATGATGTTAAAAGTTGCCATAAGTGTTCCTGGATCTACTTTTTGCGATATGGAGCTAAGGAATTGAATATCATTTCTGATGTAGCTTTTAATCTGCTTAGTAAATGCTTGTAGTATTACTGAGTATTAAATTACTGAGTCTACTAGTTGGACAGGCTGGTCCTGCTACTATGGATCTGAATGTGAGGTCACTGAGGTTTGGGATGTTAATGCATTCAGATGTTTGTGTGTAGATAGCTGCTTTTATTTCACTCGATTTGTGAATTGTTGGTAGTCCACAGGAATTGCTTGTTTTTGGTACAAAGTTTACTAGGAAACCCTTTT